ATTATTATTTATTTATTTATTTATTTGTTTATTTATTTATTTGTTTATTTATTTATTTATTTACCTATTTATTTATTTATTTATTTATTTACTACTTAGAGGTTTATTAGTTTTAATTCCTAACTGTTATTTGTTATTATTTGATAAATAATTAATACAGAATAAACAATAAATGAATAATAATAAACAATAGTAAATTAATCAATATCAAACCAATTAATTAATTAATTAATTATTTACAATTAAATTAATAATAAGTAATAATAATAATAATAAATAAATAAATTAATAGTAAGTAATAATAATGATAAATAAATAAATAAATTAATAATAAGTAATAATAATTATTAAATAAATAAATAAGAAGTTAAATAATTAAATTTGAAAAAATTAATTTCATTTAATTGCATTTGCGTTTAATTGCATTCGACTTCAGTTGCATCCAACTGGATTGAATTGAATTCCAATTAAAATGAATTAAATTAAATTAAATTAAAATGAATTAAATTTAATTAAAATGAATTAAATTAAATTAAATTAAAATGAAATTAAATTAAATTAAAATAAAGCCAAAAAGAAATCCAAAAGGCGCATGCAGAACTGCCGCGAGGAGCTGGGGTGTACGTACAGCTGAGCACAGTTGCGTTTGAAGTGGTGGGACTTTTAGTGAAGCTCTTTTTGTCATTTAAATCATTTTTGAATCATTTTTAAATCTGTTTGGAACTCTAAATGCATTTAAAACTCTTTTCTTTCCATTTATTCCTCCAGAAGATTTCAAAAAAGGAGATTTGGTGCCTTTTTGTCCTTTCTTGGGGTCTGTCTTTGGCGGCTTTCTTTCTTCAATTTTCTCGAATTTGTTTGCATTTTTGTTCATTTTGGAGTTTATTTTTACTTTTATTTCTCTTTTTCATATTTTAATCCTCTCAGGCTTTTTTTTAAATCCATTTGATCCAATTTGCGCTCAGTTTCGTTCAGCTTCCGTCCACTTTGCATGCGGGTGTGCATGCGTTGCACTTGTGTGGAAGTTAACGAATTAAGTGGTTTAAAATGAATTAATTTTACTTAAAAATTAAATTTAAAATAATAATTAACAGCCATTCACGTTCCGGGGTAGGGTTTAGGGTTTAGGGTTTAGGGTTTAGGGTTTGGGGTTTGTTCTCTTAGTGCGAGCCCGTGAAAGTTATTTATTTTTGTTAATTTTTATTTTATTTTATTTGCAGCTAATTTAACTCCAGCCCAGTCCAGTAGCAGCAGCAGCAGCAGCAGCAGCAGCAGCAGCAGCAGCAGCAGCAGCAGCAGCAGCAGCAGCGGCTGCATGCATCGGGGCTTTGGGTCTGCACGAAAACGCGGGCGTCTTTGGAGTGAAATAAAAGACAGCAGAAAAAAAGAAATAAAAGAAATTTAAAAAAATAAAATAAACGAAATTAAGCAAAACAAACCCAAAGAGCAGCAGCAGCAGCAGCAGCAGCAGCAGCAGCAGCAGCAGCAGCAAATGCAACAGAAAAAAGACAAAATGGAGTTCTTTTTTTACTTTCATTAAATGATTAACTTTAATTAATTTAAAATTGTTTAATTCTTTTCTTTTTACTTTAAATTGCTGCGCAGCAGCAAAAACAAAAAGACGAGAAAAAGTGCAGCAGCAGCAGCAGCAGCAGCAGCAGCAGCAGCAGCAGCAGCTCAAGTAAATCTATTTCTTCTGCTGCTTCTACTTTTATTTCATTTTATTTTATTAATTTAATTTAATTAAATTATTTATTTATTTATTTATTTATTTATTTATTTATTTATTTATTTATTTATTTTTTATTTATTTTTCTTTTCCCGCAATGGCGCGGAAACCGCTGTCCAAAGAACTCGAGCTGCTGTTCGCTAAACCCTTAGCCTACGTAAACCCTAAACCCTAAACCCTAAACCCTAAACCCTAAACCCTAAACCCTCGCGTTTCGGCTTCTCCTCTAGCCGCAAACCTCCGCTGTTGATTCCCAACTGAGCCTGCCGCTACTGTTGCTGCTGCTGCATCTGCTGCTACTGCTGCTGCTGCTACTGCTGCTGCTGCTGCTGCTGCATCTGCTGCTGCTGCTGCTGCTGCTGCTGTCATTAGGAATCTTCACTTAACCAGGAGCAGCAGCAAGAGCTGCTGGATGCAATTACTGCAGCAGTTGACAAACACTCACTGGGCCCGGAGCTAAACCACGAGGCGCGCTAAACCCTAAACCCTAAACCCTAAACCCTAAACCCTAAACCCTAGTTCTTTCGTTGGACTAATCCTCCCGACTCGCAAACCCTCACAGCCCCAGACGCTCTACAAAACCCTAAACCCTAAACCCTAAACCCTAGCCCTTACACGTTTCCTGGTCTCCAGAAACCCGCGATTTTTCCCAAACCCTAAACCCCAAACCCCAAACCCTAAACCCTAAACCCCAAACCCTAAACCCTAAACCCTAAACCCTAAACCCTCGTGTGTGCAGGCAATTGCAAAACAAATAAAAGAAAATTTGGA